AAGGAAGCTGGAAAAGCAAGAACACAAAAACCTAATTTCAGCAGAAGAATCCAGATCACCAAAATAAAAGCCCAAATCCAGGACATAGAAGACAAAAAGACAATACAAAATAATCAATGAAACAAAAAGCTGGTTCTTCAAACGGATAAACAAGATCGATGGTCCCCTAGCTAGACTGACCAAAAGAAAGAAAAAACCCAAATAAGCACAATCAGAAACACAAAAGATGAAGTCACATCTGACCCTGAAGAAATACAAAAGATCATCAGAGACTACTGTGTACACTTGTATGGAAACAAACTTGAAAACATCAATGAAATGGAGGACTGTCTGTCATCACACAACCTACCTAGGTTGAAACAAGAAGAAATTGAGACTCTAAATAAACCAATAACAATCAAGGAAATTGACTACATAATAAGAAAACTACCTAAAAAAAAAAAAGCCCTGGACCAGATGGCTGTCCAGCAGAATTCTACAAGACATTTAAGGAGAAACTGATTCAATCCTAATGAAGTTATTTCAGGTGATTGAGAAGGATGGAACCCTCCCCAAATCATTTTATGAAGCTAAAATCACATTGATACCCAAACCAAGTAAATATCCAACAACAAAAGAGAAATACAGGCCAATATCTTTGATGAACATAGATGCTAAAGTTCTCAACAAGATCCTAGCAAACCAGATTCAACAACACATCTCAAAAATCATCCACTATGACCAAGTAGGCTTCATCCCTGGGATGCAGGACTGGTTCAACATTCGTAAAACAATAAATGGTAATTAAATACATCAGCAGATTCAAAATAAAAACCACATGATTATATCATTAGATGCAGAAAAATCTTTTGATAAAATTCAGCACCCCTTCTTGATAAAAACCCTTGAACATCTAGGCATACAGGGAACATACCTCAAAGTAGTAAAAGCCATCTACGAGAAACCCACAGCCAGCATACCCTAAACGGACAAAAATTGGAACCATTTCCCCTGAAAACTAGAACAGGACAAGGATGCCCACTCTCACCCCTCCTGTTCAATATAGTACTGGAAGTCCTGGCTAGAGCAATCAGAGAAGAGAAGGCAGTCAGGGGTATCCAAATAAGAAAAGAGGAAGTCAAACTATCTCTCTTTGCAGATGACATGATCGTGTACCTTGAAAACCCAAGAGAATCTGTCCAAAACCTCCTTACACTGATAAAGGCCTTCAGCAAAGTCTCGAGATATAAAATAAATTTGCAAAAGACAATCGCATTTCTTTACACCAATAATAAACAGAAACCCAAATAAGAAGCATAATTCCATTCACAATAGCCACAAAAAAAATGAAATATCTTGGCATCTTCCTAACCAGAGACGTGAAAGATCTTTACAATGAAAACTACAAAACACTGCTCAAAGAAATCAAAGATAACACAAACAAGTGGAAAAATATTCCATGCTCATGGATTGGAAGAATCAACATTGTGAAGATGTCCATTTTACCTAAGGCAATCTACAGATTCAATGCAATACCTATCAAATTGCCAGCAACATTCTTCTCAGACCTAGAAAAAACAACACAGGAATTCATATGGAAACACAAATGACCAAGAATAGCCAGAACAATCCTCAGCAAAAAAAACAAAGCAGGTGGTATCACATTGCCAGACTTCAAACTTTACTATAAAGCTACAATCATCAAAACAGCTTGGTATTGGTATAGGAACAGGCATATAGATCAATGGAATAGAATTGAGATCCCAGAAGCAAAACCTCAATTCCTCAGCCAAGTCCTCTTCGACAAAGCCTCCACCACCTATCACTGGGGAGAGGAGAACCTATTTAGTAAATGGTGCTGGGAAAACTGGCTGTCCACATGCAGAAGATTGAAACAGGACCCCTATCTATCCCCATACACAAAAATAAACTCCAAATGGATCAGAGACCTAAATGTAAAACCTCAAACCATAAGAACCTTAGAAAATGAAGGAAATACCCTCATGGAAATTGGAACTGGCATCCAATTCCCGAACAAAACTCGAAACCCACAGGCCATAAGGGATAAGATAGACAAGTGGGACCTCATTAAACTGACAAGCTTCTGCAAAGCCAAAGAAACCATCAAGAGAGTAAGGAGACAGCCTACAGACTGAGAAAAAGTATTTGCCAACACCAGATCTGACAAAGTCTTAACATCTTGGATCTACAAGAAACTCAAACATGCTGGAAAAAAACCAAACAGCCCCATTATAAAATAGGCAAAAGATATGAACAGATACTTCACAAAGGAAGACATCTGAGCAGCCAACAGACACATGAAGAAATGCTCAACCTCACTAATCATCAGGGAGATGCAAATCAAAACCACACTGAGATACCACCTAACTCCAGTCAGAATGGCAATTATCAATAACTCAGAAAATAATAGTTGTTGGAGAGGGTGTGGCGAAAAGGGAACACTCCTACACTGTTGGTGGGAGTGTAAACTAGTGCAACCTCTGTGGAAAGCAGTGTGGCGATTCCTAAAAGCTCTAAACATCAACCTCCCATATGACCCTGCAATCCCCATACTGGGAATATACCCTGAAGAACTCAAATCACTCTATAAAAAAGATACCTGCACACGAATATTTATCGCAGCATTGTTCACAACAGCAAGAACCTGGAACCAACCACGCTTCCCATCAAATGAGGACTGGATTTAAAAAAACGTGGCACATATACACGATGGAATACTATGCAGCCACACAAAAGAACAAAATCATGAATTTTGCAGCAACCTGGATGGAGCTAGAGTCTATAATACTGAGTGACCTCTCACAGAAACAAAGATCTGAGTATCATATGTTCTCACTCATATAGTGGACCTTGATCATCCAACACACTACCATAAGAAAATGACTGACAGTGGTGGGAAACTATGGGGGGGGATGGGACTAATGGTAGTAAACATCTGTCTGGGGACAGGGAGACACCTATTATCAACAAGGGGGCCTGAATGAAGCATATTTGTATACCTAACCCTTAACTGTACCTCACAAAATCAAAATAAAAAATATTGATCATAAAAAAAAAAAACCTGCTAGGACTAATGAACAAATTTCATATATGTTAGAGATACAGAATAAGAAGTCCATAAAGACAGAAATTCACAGTGTTTGCCAAGGGCTGGGGTAGAAAGGATTAACCTAACAGGTATGGGGTCTTTTAGGGCCATGAAAACGTTTTGGAACTAGGTAGAGGTAGTGGTTGCACAACATGAATAAATGCCACTGGACTATACACTTTTAAATGGTTAATTTTAAATTATGTGAATTTCACCTCAATTTTTTCTAAAAATGAGGAAAGAGGTTTGATCCACTAAAGCAAGATTTCTATTTCTGTCTTCCAATTCCACTACATTATATCCTGTAAAATTTATATTAATATTTGTTATCACTTAGAAATATTGCATCATAGGGCAACCCCTTCGGGTCCCCTTCCGCTGTGGGAGCTTTTCTGTCCTCTCAATAAATTCTGCTTTCATTGTCCATTCTAACAGCCTGCCTTATCTAGCTCCCAAATTTTGCCTAAGACTAGATTTTTCTCACTTTTTTCTAAGTTAAAAATAGTTCATTTTCTTAGAAAATTAGGTAAAACATTTACTTCAGATAAGGACAGGTAGAGACTACTACATGGTTTCATGTGTATTCTTACTCATCAGTCAAGTATTTGAATACCAACCTACTCTTGCTCAGTGCTGCAGCCCTGCAGGCTTTCTGAAATCATGTTACAAGTAAATAAATACTCAGTACTATACTAAGTATTCTGGAATATATGTTTTCATTTAAAATTGGGTCTTATCCTTAAGGATAACTATAAACAACCACAAGACCAATTATAATGAAATGTTAAAGTGCCTGTATATGTTCAAAGTGCTACAAGAAGTTAAGACAGAATTGAATAGCTGTCTGTGTTTTCTAATTCACGGTCAAGTAACTAAGGTACAAATACCCATTTGTACCTTCTTTTCCCCTCATCTTTTAAAGAATTACCAGAACTCTTACAGTGACTCTCCAGTCTCCATCATACTTGTATATCTACCTTTGTTCTCCACCCCTTACATGCCCTTACACACACTGAATTCCTGTATCTTTCATAAATGTTTCACATGTCTACCAAGGTATGTAAGCTTTATAATATAACTAAGAAAAAGGATTTTGCAACCCTACAGATCACAGTCTATATGAGCATTCTGTTTGTGTTTATATACTTTATTTCTTCATCTGCAATACAAGACAGAGTTGTCACACAACTATATTATTTAGGTAAAGCATTTACAGTACATTTTAATACATTTTAAGCTCAATAAAAGTTGACTTTTTACTTTTTTAAAAAGATATTAACAGGTGGAATTAAGCCTACACTATTGCTTAGCTTGCCACAACCATTCATATTCAAAGTTTACATAAATAGGACTTCGGATTAGGCCTTGAACCGGGCTTGTTTAGGAAGTCACTCCTCCAGTATTATGAAATGTTCTGTTACAATTTTTTTTAATGATAATAGGAATATGAATAGATATGTGTCCCTATCTTGTGTTTTCCAGCTAGAAATGTTAAGAAAATACTGTAGAAGCACATAGAATTCATTTTTTGTTCAATTTGTTGCAGACTAAGACAACATATAACACTGTAGGAGACGAAATTTATTTTGTTCTAGAGTCAAAAACAACAACAAATTCACTGTCAACTTCACTCAAAGATAAACATCATTTCCATAATTAGAGTAAAATCAAAACACAGGCCATAAGAATTTATATCTAAAATTTTGTTGACAGCAGCTGCCAAATGAAGTATTTAATAAATACTTTCAGTTATAATGGTCAGTAAAACGAAAAGTTTTGGCTTCTGACATATACAGGTGGTTCTGTAACTGTTTAGAACGCTTAGCTTCTAGTCGAAGCTGTCTGGTTCTCTCTCTGACAGCTTGTTGCTCTGCTATTTTTTCTATCCGTTTCCTTCTTAGCCATCTGTAGGATGAGGGATAATCAGATTTGGTGAGTATCAACCTGAATATACTCTTCATACTATAAAGTTACTACTATAGACAATTAAAGGAAATGAACATTTATTTATAATGAAATACTGTCAAAACACAAATTTTTAAAGCATTAACTGAAAAATTTCTAATTTGTACCCTAAGCTCATACAAGAAAGGATCAAATGCTTGAAGTTAAGTTTGTCTTATGATAAAACAGCCAACTTTTTTTGGTATAAACACAATATTTTACATTTTTAAAAACTAAGTATGGGTTTCTAAGTAAACAGATTTCAAATAACTCCTTCTTTGCAACTGGCTGTATTCTAAAACATTACTTAGCCAGATTAAGAATTCTGGCACACAGAATTTTTGCCTTGCTACTCTTTTTACTAGGAAAATTTATAGAGCTCTTGCTTTTCAGTGCATAAAATAGCTCTTCCTTAAAATGGAAAAATAAGTCTAAATATGAAAACATCAAAAGAAGTAGAGTCCACATTCTGACAAATTCAACTCTATAAAGCTGGCTAGTTAAAATAACATAAAAAATAACTGTATATACATATATACCTGATATATAAAGGTGAATGTGGCATGTGTGTGTATATTAATATAGAGAGAGAGAGAGAGATTTTTTTCAAAAATCTAAACAACTAACTGTGTTAGAGTAAGAGAGACTTAAACATCACAACCCAATGGTATATGATCTGAACTAGATAGTAGTTTAAGCAAACCAAATGTAAGTCATTTATGGGTCAGCTATGGAAGAAATGGATATGGACTGGATATCAGATGAGATTATTAATGAAAATAAGCAGAATACAGGGTAGTATATACAGTATGATCCCAACTTATATTTTAAAATGGTAGATATATATACAAAGAAATATCTAGACAATATGCACTCTGGTGCTAATAGTCATGATTTCAGGGTGATGAAATGTCCATTTCAACAATGTACATTTACTACTTTTATTATAATAAAGGCTATGAAAAGAGGCCAGGTAGGCACGGTAGCTTAGACCTGTATCCCAGCACTTTCAGAGGCCAAGGCAGGAGGACTGCTTGAGCCCAGGAGTTTGAAATCAGCCTAGGTAACATAGCAAGATCTAACTTTTTTAAAAGAAAAATTAAAAAGTTAAAAAAAAAAAAGAACCAAGAATGGGGGCACATGCATTAATCCCAGCTACTTGGGAGGCTGAGGCAGAAGGATCACTAGAGCCTGGGAGGTCAAGACTGCAGTAAGGCATGACCATGCCACTCTGCACCCCAGCCTGGGTAACAGAGTGAAACCCTGACTCAAAAAAAAAAAAAAAAAGAAAGAAAAAGAAAAGAAAAAGGAAAGAAAAAGGAGACAAAAGAGAGAAAATAACTTTAAACAACTGGACTCAATATTCACTTTGTTCCCCAACTCTTCTCAAAGCTTGCTAGCAGAATTATGAGGCCAGGTCCTCAGAATTAGTGAGGCAACATAGAGTCTTACCCAGATAACTGAAAAAAGATCAGGTTTGTCTTAAATTACCAAAATATGTACCCAAATCTCCTTTTCATTTGGTCTACAAAGTTTTGTCTTCTCAGCCCACCTGCCCTTTTTTTCCTCTTTTTTTGTCAGTCTCACTCTGTCACCCATGCTGGAGTGGTAGTATCACAGTTCACCACAGCCTCTACTTCCTGGGCTCAGGTGATCCTTCTGCCTCAGCCTCAGCTGGGACTACAGACAAGCACCACAACACTCAGCTAAATTTTTTATTTTGTAGAGATAAGGTCTTGCTATGTTACCCAGGCTGGTCTCAAACTCCTGGGCTCAAGCAGTTCTCCTACTTGGGCCTCCCAAAGTGCTGAGATTACAGGCGTGAGCCACCACACCTGGCCCCACCTGCCTTTCTTTATAAAAAGACATTTATTGGTAAATGCAACTATGAGGGCTATGTAGAAGCTACAACCAATCTTGACCCATTTCTCTCAGGAATTAAGCAAGCAAACTTAAATAAATGTTAAGATTTCAAAAGCTATCACAAGATAAGCTATCACAAGTTGTAAGAAATAATAAGTATTGAAAAGTACCTTGAAAAAATGGTATCAACACATAAATTGTGGAGTTAAAGAACTACACATTTTTAAAGCATGAATTTAAAATTGAAAGGTACTGACTGTAAGAGAGAAAACATTTTGTTTTTGTTTTCCAAGCTAATTGATGATGTAACTTTCTAAAATGACCATGAGGAAAGGGGGGGAAATGCCCTGCCTTTAACTTACTGTTTAAAGGCCCTTTCACGGCCTTCTGCTCCTTGAAGGAAGAACAAGCGTTCCTCTTGCTTTCTTAGTTCTTCTGTCTTTTTTTCTTTCATCTGCTCTTCCTGCTTTTTTTTAAGCCATAATCGAAAAGCTTGCTGTGGATCTCTGTTTTCCTGCTGATTAGAAAAACAAGCTTTGTTTAATTTAGATAAACCAAAAGGGACTACCTACAGGACCCTAAAAGAATACCTGTCTCACTCTTCAATTTTTCATCATAATGCCAACCGCATAACCTGCACCCCTAGTTTCCAAACCAAATATGTCACAGTTAAATCAGCAACACTGATGACCCTTCTGTGAGAAAATTCAACATCAAACTCACTGCCATCTAGTTTCTTTCAAAAGTCCTATTGAGGTAATCAATAAATGAAGAGAGTCTAAAGGAAGTGATTTTCAAAATTCTCAATGTTGAATCCATTGTCAAAATAACTTTGCACAATGGTACAAACATATAAAACAAAGGCTTGCAGAAGACTTGGGGATAGGCAGTATGAGTGGGTTGTCTACAGCAGTTCCTGAAGGAGTGCCACAGAATACAGTTTGCAAATAAATGATCCAACACTGTGTTATCAGCCTTCCTTTTTAAATTCTAACCTTTTTTATGTTGTAAGAGTGTCTTTCAGAAGCTACTTAAGCCTATTTTTCAAAACTGTCATTATTATTATGAAGTGTGGTCATAATAATTTTCAGTCATAAGAATTTTCTTATGAGAATAACATTCTTGATGATTTTGACATAAGAAAAAGCTTGTAGGAGCAGCTTGTTTAATGGTCCCTCGAACTTCATAATGGATACTATCTTCAGGGAATTTTCAGAAGTTGAAAGAACTCTTATTTGGGGGCATAAAGGAGAGAAAGAGGATAGGTTTGGGACTTTTTAGGGAAAGTGTGACATGTTGCCTGGCTAGAACACAGAAGAAAAGGATGCATCATTTAATACATTGCCCAAATATCAATTCTGTCATAGAAAAGACCATTTCCTATGTCTTGCATTTTCCCTCATCTGTAACCTACATTGCCAAGTATGCTCCAACCTAATCCATAAGATTTATGCCATTCAGGAACTGTGGAGAGGACCCCATGGATCTAGAGAATCATTGCTCCACACGTGGAAGTCTGGGAATTGCTAGAGATGACAGAAAACTATTCAACCTGGAATTACAGATCACAAAAGTCTAGATACAAAGTTACCATTATATAAATTCTGGTGCTCTATCGCACAGTAGGGTGACTATAGTTAACAATAATGTATGATAGATTTCAAAATAACTAGAAGAGAGGATTTTGAATATTCTCACCAAAAAGAAATGACAAGTGTTTGAGGTGATATGCTAATTACCCTTATTTGATTATGACACAACGTATACATGTATCAAAACATCACACTGGACCCCATAAATGTGTGAAATGATTATCAATTAAAAGCAAAATAAAACGCTTTTTAAAATGTAAATTTAAAAAGATTTCTAAGGAGTCACGGATTTAGGGATGAACAGGATAAATGGGTGTCCTTGTTCTTTCTTTCATTCAACAGATAACACTTTGTTCAAATATAAGCTCTGTAATAGAGAAGTATTTATTACATAGCAGGCATACAGGTACAGAGTTGCATTAATGAATAAAAACAAGATTCGCTCTCATAAATTCTATGCCTGTACTGTATAAAACAGTGTCATAATTTAATAAAAATAAAAAATTCAGTACCTCCGTTATACAAGCTACATTTCAAGTGCTTAACAGCCACACATGGCTAGTAGCTATTATATTGGACAGTGCAGATACAGGACATTTCCATCATCACAGAGAGGTCTACTGGCCAGTACTGTTCTACACAGGGAAAAAAATAGTTGATTAATTGATTAATAAGTATGTCAGATTCAAAAGAAAAGTATGGGGAGGAGAGAGAGTAATAAAGGTGGAGGTAAAGAGAAAGGATGGTGTTTAGAAAGTGAGGAAGTTAGGGAATAGCTAAAGAAAATTATTTCAGGCAGTGGTAACAATCAGAGCAAAGGAGCTGAGAAGAGCTTGTATTCAGCTTCTTCAATAAATGGCAGAGAAGTCAAAGTGAAGCTGTGAAAGTGGCTGAAGAGTGGAAGATGAAGTCAGAAATAGCAGGGATCATGTAATATATAACCTCAGAGACCATTGTAAGAACTTTGGATTTTATTTTGAGATGAGAAGTCATTGGAGGCTTCTGAACATAAGTGACAGTGACATAATTTATTCTACTTTCAGAAGTATTCTGGCTGCTATGTAGAAAATAGACTGGACGAGGGAGAAGCAAGGCAGAAGGGGAAGAGATTTTAGGCTTTTGCAGGAGTCCAGACAATAAGAAATTATAGTTTGGATTAGGGTAGTAGGATTCTGGATATATTCTGAAAGATAAAGCCAACAGAATTTGCTCAAAGACTGAATGTAGGGTATTATATCTTGTGTTAAATGACTGTTTTTAAATTATTCTGGGTTTTCTTTTTATGATTTTATGAACCCCACCTTATAAAATCAATCATTTCTGCATTGCAAAAGAATAAAAAAGATAAAAGTTAATGCAGCTAATCTTGCAAAGAATTTATATGCATAATGCATAAGAGTTCCTATGTATCAAAAATAAAAGGGCCAATATTCCTAATAGAAAAGTTGGCAAAGGATTTTTTTTTTTTTTTGGAGTTGTGGGATACACATGGGGATTTACTACATAAGTAAGCTGCATGCAGGTGAAGTTTGGGTTTCTAGCTGGCCCTCTCTCCCCATGACAGTGGGCCAGGTACTCAGTGTGTTGTCACATAGACTCTCCCACCCTTCCTTCCCTAGCAATGTCCAGTGTTTCCCAATCTCACCCTTGTGCTAGTATATGACTAGTGTTCAGGGCCCACTTATGAGTGAAAACATGTGGTATTCAGTTCTTTGCTTCTGCAATAGTTCACTTAGTATGATGGTCTGAGGCTGCAACCAAGTTGCTGAAAAGGCCATGATTTTGTTGTTCTTTATGGATGCATAATATCCCATAGTATGTAAGTAACACAATTTATCTAGTTCACTTTTTAAAAAAAGAAAGTTCAAACAGCACATAGATGTCAAACTCCCTAATAATGCTGCAATCAGAGAGCATTATTTTCTACCTAACAGATCAGTAAAGATAGAAACATTTAAAACATACTTCCTAATGAGGATGTAGGGATGCAGGAATTCTCCTACAATGTTATGATAGTATTAGTAGCACATTTATGGAAAGCAATTTGGCAATATCTATCAGCATTTCAAAAAATAACACCCAGCAGTTCTATCTCCTGAAATGTATCCTCCATTTAAAATTTTATATTTGCAAATTAACATATATACAATGAGAACTGCTGTACTGTTTTTATAATACAAAAAGATTAGATAAACTTCAATATTAGTATATAGGAAATGATTAAATCATCATCTATCCATATAATAGAAGGCTATGAAATTATTAAAAAGCTCCACAGGATTTCTGGCAAGATGGTGTCAGGACAGGTCAGACTGTGAGAGTCTCCGCAAAAGCAAGTATCCATAAAGACTCTATGCATGAGTGGGTGTGTGCAATGGGTGAGTGAAAGTCCATTTGAGAGAAGGCTGGGGTTCATGCACCTGGGGCTCTCCAAAGGTGACTGCAAGCCCCCCACCACTCTGAGATTGGAACCTCCAGCACAGCAGGATCGTTTGCTGTTCTTGGGCTCTTCTGAGCAAAGCCTGCCAAATACAGCTGATCCTCATCACCTGGAGCCCGGCCCAAACCATCACCTGTGACAGCAAAGCAGCTGAAGCCCCAGATCTGAGAAGAGAGCAGTCAGGGAGAGCTGGAGAGGAGCTCCACCACTGGTGAGGAAACACTGGCTGGAGCCATTTTCTTGTACCGGGACCAGGCAGTGACCTGCATTGCCTCGCCCAGCTCCACCCAGCCTCCATGCTGGGACCGAGAGGTTATCTCATCAAACTCGGAGAGACAAGCACCCCTGCCCTATGCTGGAACAGGCATAGACACATCAGATTTGAGTGGGAGACTTGACAAAAGTAGCAGCAAGCCAGGTGGATCCAGATCTGATCTACCCTTCTCCCACAATAGTCCCTGGGGCATCTGACCCATGCTGAGAGCAACAGTATCAGTCTGCACTGAGAGCAGAGGGGAGAGGTTGGAGACCAGAGCTGAAAGGAGGTTGAAGTTACAGGAACTGCCTCAGAGTGAGTTTTGTTTTTTGTTTTGTTTGTTTGTTCTGCTTGGGGTTGTTTGATTTTTGTTTGAGTTTTGGGGGGGGTTCTTTTCCTCTTCTCTGTTTTTTATTACATTTTGATACTTACTTTGTTTCTTTTATTATTATTTTTTTTTTAGAGTTCCTGTTTGTGTATGGGTATTTTTGAGGGAGAGTATATCAATGATGGGGTTGTTTTTGTTTTTTAATCTTTTCTGCCTTTGTGTTTCTTGTTAGTACACCTGTGTGTTTTCCCTCTTATTCTTCTCTCTCTCCACCTTCCTCTTGTCCCCTTCCTTCCTTTTTTCAATTATTTTCCTTTTTCCTACCTCATTTTGTTTTCAGGGACAAACTTATACCCCCACTGCATGGACAGATTGTAAGGCAGTGGGAAGTGGGTTCCAGGGGCCCCACACAACTGTCAGTGGATACTAGGATCTGCAGATAGTTGAATCACAGCTCCCCCCTCAATTAAATCCCAAAACTGCAAAAAAGTACAGCCACCCCACCCACCCACAGTCCAGCTTCAGAACTGAACAAAGCCAGAGGATCCACATAATGAAGAACAGGAGATTGAGCAAACAGAAGTAAAAGCTACCCCCATCCCTGAACAACAAAATTAAAGAAGAGGTTAAAAAAAAAAAAAAAAGGTGGGGAGGAAAAATCTACACAAATGAAGAAAAACCAAAAGAAGAATATAGGTCTCACACAGACACCTGAGAGGGCAGACACTGAGAACACAGACTTCAGAACACAAACAATGAAGAACCCCCAGAATGAGTGGTCTCAAGTCATAAACCCAGATATCAAGACATTAATAGAGAGAATAAATAGAATTGAAGAGAGACGAGGAAAGAATGAAGGAGTTGATAACGAGATAACAGCAATAAAGAATACAGTGAATGA